GTTGCCCGAAGGAGCTTGAGGGGCGGGAGGATAGTTGGGCGTGGCTCTGCGCTCATTTTCAGGCGCCCGATTATGTGGTATTTTTTTAATAATATTTGTTTAATGTTTATTTTATTTTTTATATCTCATTATTATTTAATTTATTTATAGTTCAATTCTTACGTTTTATTTTTTGTATAACAGAATAAAGCCCAAGTGAATAAGGGTAATAGGAAGAAGAAGACTCTTCTTCACCATTCCGGCTCCAGGCCCTTCTCATATAGGATGGATGCACGGCGTCGGGTAAGAATAATATAATTTATATTTAATTTTTAATACGTCATTATTATTAATTTCTTTTGTTCATACTAATATTTTTCTTCTCTTGTTCAATTAAGGGGGGGTCGAAATTCTCAGAGATCGACGTCTTTGGTGACGTTTATGTTCGACCTGGGAATGAGTTGGCCGAGTCCCTTCATGTAAGTATTATGTATTTTTAATTCTTATGTTACACTTTCAATTTATATGCATTTTTGAATTTATATTTTATGTAATGTTAAACAGACGACGATGGTGGAGAGGAGCCAGTTGGTTCTTCAAGAGTCCGCCTCCCAACTTCCTCCCGAGACTCCGATCGAGTCTGTGGATCCTCCGCATGATGCTGGATTTCAGATTTTGACGCAGACGTTGGATCAGACTCTCGGGAGGAGGCCGGGAACGTATTGTAGGGGGATGGGGAATGCCCGACAGAGGGAACCTCGACCGCGGTCATCGTCGCAGGCAAACAGTCAGGTGACTGTTTTGACATCGCGGGTTGCCGAGCTTGAGGGTCAGATGTCGGTGATTCTGCAGTCGCTCGCGCGGTCCGGGATTCCAATCCCGAATTTTGGTGCGTCGACCTCCGAGCCCGTCCAGCCCGAGCATCCCCAGCACACCACGGCCCCTGCAGACACCCATACCTCCGAGCCGCCTACCTCCGAGCCGCATGTGGCAGATGACCAATTAGATTTCGGAACATTATTTGATTAGTTTTTTATTTTTATAATTATTTTTACAATTTGTATACATTTATTTTATTTTATATAATAGATGTTTTCTTTACGATTAATTTTTTTTATAGTAATTTCATTTTAATTTAAAAAAAATGTTTAAGTATAATGATTATGAAAATATAAAAGGAGAAACTTTGGCCCAAATCGAACTATAGGATATATCACATATATAATTTTGAAAGATAATGTTGAGCTTGGATATATATATAAAAGGAGACACTTTGACCCTAAAGTTGTTTCTTTTTTTGGGCAGTATGAGAAGCACGAGGCAAAGAAAGACCCAGAGCATGCTCGCAGGCACAGGATAGAGGAGGAGATTGGGGCAACAGGGGCAGTTGGTTCGGGTGGGTATGCCTTCCACGAGCATCATGAGGAGAAAGAGTCAGAGAGAGAAGAGGAAGAGTCTCATGGAAAGAAGCAACACCACCTCTTCTAAATAATCTCAATTAATCAATATCGATCTTTATTGATTACCTATTTAAGTGGTTTATTTGTATGCATCCCTTTAATTATTTGTGTGATGTTTAATTATGATGAATGCTCAGTATTTTGTTTCTGAGAATTGATGCATGTTGAGTGTATAAGTAAGACTCTTTGTTTAAAGGGTACTGTATATATCCTGTTTTCTTTTAGCATGTCATGTATTTAATTGTTAATCGTTTACTCGGTGTAACTTTTATATAATTTTTTAGTGGTATTAATTTTTTTTCTTTTATACAAGCAATATTGAGCGAGCGGGAAATCAAACCTAGGACCTATGCAAGGATAATTACTCTTAACTACTTAAGCTATAAACCGCTTGTGTATAAATCTTAGCCAGACTTAATTAACAACTCAATATATGGATAAGAATATAGAGTTGAGAAAATATGCAGACGAAAATCATATTGTTGATTTTTTGTTGAATACCCTTTACCTTGTTGTAACTAAGTGAAAAATATGGTGCTTTGCATATAGAATTCGATAGAAACTGATTATTCTAATCATTCAGTCTTAAATAGTAATACATTCATAAAGGTGAGACCAATTAAGCCATTAAAACACTGCGAATGATTCACGCTAAAACATAATTAAGATCATGAACAAAATAGACCCTACTAGTTAAGTAACTAACATGGCTAGAGACCTCATATGCGTTACATTTATTGATTGAATATCTCAAATTCTTCAAGGGACTAACTTCTCCGAACCAGGAACAACTTTCACATTAGTAGGATCATGACTTGATGGTGGTGATGGTGGATTTGACGGCTGGGATTTAACATGATCGGCTTCATCGCAATAACCCTTGAGTACATCAGTCTCTTCCACGGTAAACCCTAGCGTGCCAAGTAAGGCAGGCCAACACTGATGCTCAATGGTCCTAATGGCTTCACAGCAACTGTGACCCAAGTAAGTCTCACCATTAAGAAAAAACATGACAACCTCACTAGAACATGACTGGAGCTGAAACAAAGAGTCCCAGCAGTTGGCAGATTCTTCATCCAAATTCAACCTGGCTACGAGGTTCGAGTTTGACCGAATTATGTTAGGATTCAAAGGGCGAGCACTTGTGGCTAAGAATGGCATAGTCAAGGCTAGAAGAGCTGTAAGAAGGAAGAGCTTGAAAGTTGTGTAAGCTGCCATTTTGATTTTGTGGATGAGTAAGGGATTGATACGAATGAATGGTTTTATATAGATGGTGAGGTGATTGTGTTATAAAATGGAAGGAAAAGAAAAAACCGTTACGTGCATTGGGTGGTGAAGAGGCTGCTGAGAGTAACTCATAATGACAATAATCATGTGATAATTAACAGAAGGAGGAGTTGATGGGACTCAACTCACCAACTAATGATGCATATAACAAAATTTGTGGGAATTAAAATAATTAAACGTAATTCCCAACCACAGATGAATTAATGGATAATTTGTGGTCTTTGTGATGGTTGGTTTGCTTGCTAGTGTTGGTTTTGTTTGCTGATGGTCAAAAGGATTGACCATTCGTTTGCTTACCGAAAGTTGGTTAGTGTATTCACTATTCGTGCTCATTCTAAAAGATTGATTGAGATCCATAATTGGATTATTAAATTCATGTTTGCTTTACATTTTAATTTCAAATTTGTTCTCAAATTGACAAAGGTGATTTCAACCTATTGTAATGTAAGGTAAGGGAGGGGTTTGAACTCGGGTACAAGGGGCAAGCACACTGCATTGATCAACTCGCCTTTACCACATTTGCAATTTTAATTTTCTATTAGATTTTTAGTTCTTGGACTCCAAACTATGCTTCAATTCTCATTGGAATTTGCTTAGAGCTAGACAAATTAATAATTTTGTGATTTGTTGATTTGCTAGATACTGGAGTTGGCTTCATTTTGGGCTTCATTTGGTCCCATTCGGCCTTCGGTTGATGGCTCTTGGATGTTTATTTGAACATATCTATGGCTTACAATACATCTTAATTTTTAGAACATATGTCTAATTGTAGTTCCAAAATGTCTCAAAATAAAAATCGAAAGAAAATAATAGCTCCAAAATTATTGCCTCTCAAATGATTTCCCTAGCGTGAAAATGTTGTCATCAAGACAGACTACTGTGTGAATGTTAATATGAAGACTATATTCTCTGCTTTTGTGGAAATGTGAGTACATTTTGACTAGATTGACAACTTCTCATTAATAAATCACCAATCTCCAAATAAAAAGTTACTATAATTTTATTCAAAATAGAATTAGTTCTGCCAAATTCTGCTCAACATATTCTGATGTTAATGAACCTCTCAGAATTCTTGTCTGTTGAACAATTTAAAATTGAGAGATGCTAAATAAGAGAAGACTGCATAAGTGAAAGAGATTGTATAAACTATCAAAGAGATGATCAATGAAGCAGACAGGGGAGGAGTTCCGACAAAGCAATTGGTCGGTTTTAGATTGATTCAATGCAAATGTTTACCGGTTTGATTGAGAATTCTTGTTGTCTTATTCCATCCTGCACAAAATAGAGCATAGCAGTTTAAATAGTCACATAAGTTGTGTCAATAAGAACCAGGTAGGTGATCTTGAGGTGCAAGTTTCATGCGAACCTGGCTAGTAAGTACACGACTACTTTCAATCAGTTCAAGTTGCACATTCGCAGTGTGCCCAGTACCGGCCATGGCATCAGGAACCCAAATTTCAGTTTACTACAGGACACAGTTGGCTGGCTTCAACAGCAGTAGTCTTGTTATTATGCACTTGAATCCAGAAACAAACAAAAAAATCAGTATGTCCTGTTTATTTGCATCATAAATCTTGCACATACTTTCGCAATTGGGAAAAAAAAAAAAGTAGCAAGGTAAAGTGTTCTCCTCTCCTACCTAATATCATTGAAATTTGTTGGAAGACATAATTGTTGGAAGACATATCATTGAAACATACAAAACAAACAACCATTGACTCTATCTTCAGATAAATGAGATCATGGAAGACATATACTTGTTTGCTGAAGGTAACTACATAATTATTTGCAGTACGTTAACAGATACTTTGCTCAAATGCTATATAATATGCAGCAACATGACAAATGTACATAAGAAGAAAGAGAGAAGAGGAGAGAGAGAGAGAGAGAGAGAGAGAGAGAGAGAGTGAGTGCAGAGGAATTATCATCAAAGATATGAATCTAATGATAAATGTATGGCTAGAAAAGGAAAATGGCATAGTCAAGGCTAGAAGAGCTGTGAGAAGGAAGAGCTTGAAAGTTGTGTAAGCTGCCATTTTGATTTTGATTATTGTGGATGAGTAAGAGATTGACACGAATGAAGGATTTTATATAGATGGTGAGGTGATTGTGTTATAAAATATAAAATAAAAATGTTACGTGCATTGGGTGGTGAAGAGGCTGCTGAGAATAACTCATGTGATTATTTAACGGCAGGAGAAGAGGAATTATCATCAAAGAAACAACAAGTAATGAATCTAATGATAAATGTCTGGCTAGAAAAGAAAATGCAGGGAGACAGATGATGGTGACTTACTAATAATATCAATTGTGAGAGTAGCGTTATTGGCCTTTCAAATATTTGAGTTAGTAAAAATTTAGCTCCTCTTTTAAGAATAACAGTTTTTATTAAACTTTTAAAAACAGTGGGAGAACCAGGCCAACCAAATGAAGGAACAATAGGAGAAAAACAAAACTTAGAGCACAAGCAGTGGAACAAACAATAGTACGTCAAATCCAAAAAAATGAAAAGTAGAATCAGCAAAAGCAGCAACTCACATTGAATTGAAATGCAGCAGCTGTGATGCCTCTTGCTTTGAAAGTGAGGAATCATAGGTCAGTCCCAAACACATCCATCTTTTTTCTTTTTCTGGGCCGAGCTTTGTCAACAAAATCATTTAATTCATCTTGGTCTACCTCTTCGGAAGAAGCATAGGTATTGCAGAAGAGAGATTTTTGGCGAGAGCTGATGAGTCGATTTTATATTATATATTTAACCCCATTCT